ACGCCTTGTATATACATATTATATTCATTTTATTTGTCTTTGATACAGTAAAATCCAATATTATTACTGAACATAAAATAAAGGAAATTAAATATTTTTACTTTTTAAGCGATCGGAATTAAATATTAAAACCCCACTGTTTGAGGCCCACTGATCATATCTTAATTACATATCGGCCGTCATAGGGTAAAAGGACTTTATTACGTAGAGCGTGCCTAGAAGAAACTGCATACTTAGTGTCACAAATTACGAGAACGTTACAGTTTTCAGTAACTAATAATAAAAGGAAAGATAGAGGATAACACAGGCCCAGTTCATAAAAGATGTCAATCATCAATCAAATTTTATATTTAAACAGAATCATGATTATGTCATTATACTGTTGTGATACAGTCAGTTTAGACTGTAAATTTTATGATTGCCGTAAATTCGAATGATACCCCTCGTGATACACTGCGATGTAGTCGACTACTTTTTTCATATGAAAAGTGAAGTCGCGTCGATCGATTAGGGAGTTTTGAAAAAGCTGGGTTCATCAAAATTGTTAACACAGTTACACTAAAATTATGGTTACAACAATACTAGCATGTCCCTATTAATAAGTTTGCGAAATTGTGCAATAATTTCTGTTGACTCTCTTATTTCGATTAATAATAGCAATACGTAGCAAAATGTCTTAATTGTACTGATGCGCTAGTGAAATAAAACATACATCTTTTAGGTTTTACATAATATTGAATGAATAAATGCCGTAGATGTGCCTTATTCACATACATAACACAAAATTAAACGAGAAAAACAAAACGTTATAATAAATGGAATGAGCGACTTAGTTCCCTTTTAATCGATTCGATCTACATTCAAGTACATTTAATTCATAAACTAAACCTAAACACTATATCAGATTAAATAAGTCCTTCGAATATGAAACTGTCAACATTTTGTAATTGCTTCAAGAAAATCCAATGTGTGAAATAAGATATTTTTTAAATACATTATATAAATATTTACTCAATATAGGTCTATATAGACATGGAGAGTACATAATTATATCTAAACTCCCCTGCCTTGAAATAATGAAAAGTTACTTTCGTACCCATACCCACCAAAGTTTACATTAACTCTGTGATTCGAAGGATTTTATTTAGTCAGTTCGAGAACTCATCTAGTCTGAAACAGCCTTAAAAACAAAGCACTTTCAACAACATTACAAATATCAAGAATTAATAAACAAGTGATACTCTTTTTTTCAAATAGGTTGCACAAACCTACTTCCAACTGCCGAATAAATAAATTATATGCTAGTACAAAAACGCCTCAATCGAAGCATCATAAAAGAAGAAATCGAAGTAAGTCCAAAATTGTGTGCATTGGAAGCATGCAATATAGTATATTGAAATTTATATTAGATAACACAAAAGGTAATTTTTTGAAAAATAAGGAACTTGCATGCACTTAAAATATTTTTTTAATAAATAATATAATTTTATTTTAAAATGATATATACAATATCCACCACTATCCTATATGGCGCCACTGATTAATTGAAAGGAAAACAACAAACGTCAACAACTTTATTTCCGTAAGCTAACCACTGATATAAAGTATTTTATTTTGGTACAAAAATGATAAAAATACCGCGACTCCGGACTAATAAGAAGCAAACTTGGTTATCTGACTTCTCCTTTTTTGAGCGGTTTGGCTCAATTAGATTCCCCAGCTAATTACTGTTTTCACTAACTTATCGTGTCTTGACTATCACCTAACTACTTAAGGTTCGACCACTTATGACCAATTCTTTCAACACATTTTTAGTAAGGACATAGTAGTTTGCGAAACAACAGTATACTACTACCATCTTTCTAAAAGACTCATTAACATTCAGCTCAGCGGAATGCTATTGTTCGAAGTGTGAAATTCCATAAAGAAGGTATCATTCCATAAAACAGGTAGATCCCTTGTTTATAAAGTTTCACTCGAACTCGAATTTCTTTAGAAAGATAGAAATGCCATACAAAAATCATCGAGAGACTGACCAACTCATTCATCATTTTCTTTTTACTGAACAATCTGTTTCTCCTCAACTCAGACTTTTTACACTTAACACTATATTTAATATATCTACTTGTTTCATTGTTATACAAGAACTTTTAATTTTATTTAAAATGAATATTATCGTAGACATACTTTGTATATACGACTCACGACGTATAATGGCATTTGAATTGTGGGTATATCGTAGAATGATGCGCATACCCTGGACAGCACATCGCACAAATGTCTCAATATTGACAGAACTCAACATCAATACTAGGCTTACCACAATCACCAACCAAAATGTATGTAAGCAAGATGGTAAAAGAACTCTAGGAAGATCACCATTCCAAGTAAACTGAGCTACCGGTTACTCTCTGTCTGAAGCAGCACACCGCGCCCATGAGAGAGACGAATGGATAGCAACCATTCGTCAAATACCATAACGTCACCACATCCTTACGAAGGATAAAGGATAGAGGAGGAGGAGACTTTATATATTCAACTTACCTTTCACTTTGCAAATATTTCTTTTTTAATACATGAAAGTTATTTTGATAGTTTTAGGTTATTAGACCTTTTTCGCTTAGTTTGTTATTGTCAGTTTCTAAGGTTTTATAAGTATAGTGACGCCAATCGCATAAGGCAGACAAAATTCGAATGCGCATATTTTCTCTAGCTTGAAAATGCAATACAAAATGCCACACGAGTTTAAAACATGAACTTTTTTTGGGAAAGTTATTAGAAAAATTAAAATAAAAATAATCGTTGCATACCCATTTGATAAGATTACAGACTGAATATAGTTTCTAGTGGGGTTACTCGACATATCTAGTCACCATTTTAGTGGTCTTCTGGAAACGATCGATTTCCCATCTAATTATAATTTATTTATGGACTTTGATATTATATTTGTCTTTAGGATCAGACCGTGGATGGTTTCTAATAGGTAGCAGAAAGTATTTTTGCATTTAAACAATGTCAATTGTCATTGATGTCAATTGTGTTTCTTATATTTGATAGTCTACTATTTCTATGTATCCATTTCAAGAATTCATAAACTTGTCCGGCCTAATTCTACGAGTGCTTCGATTCGAGGTCTTTTGCATGAGTTTGTGCCCCCTTCAAAGATACTTAATATTTTTGGAAAAACGAAAACTAGACTGTGACCAAATATTACACGCTATAAAAATGCTACATCTAATTAATAAATAAATCAAATGTCAATTGGCAACGAAAAAAAAAATTATATTTCTTAAACTATTTGCAAGAAAACCGTGTATTCTACAATGCTTGAGTTCTAGTCTACTTATATATTATTAAAAACTTGCTGTAGCAATGTAAAGAAAGGATTATTTTGAAGCTCACAACAAAGTAGATTTATTATTTTTTTATAATATAAGCAGAAACATGTTTAATTGCAAATAGTAAAATAAATTCCTATAGATTACCAATCATTTTATTTGTAAATGGAACCATGTTTCAATAACCACGCTATTACATATATATTTTTTTCTAAAACATATAGACAATAATTCTCTATTTTATTTTTAATTATTAAAAAAGGCAATATTTAATAAATGGAAGCAAGTACTATATTGTTCGTTATCTTGCAATTCTTAAGGGTACATTTTTACTTTATCATAGGGATGGGAAAAACCTACCGGTTTTTAACCGAAAACCGGTTTTTTTTACTTCGCAATAACCGTTTTTATCGGTTGTTTTTGTGTCCCGGTTATAACCGGTTTTTTATTTTTAAAGTAAAAACCGTTATTAGGTTATTAGGTTTGTTTCGATTCGGAAATCTACCGTTTAAATTTGTTATCATCACAAAAAATTTGATATTATTTTCAATACGTTTGTATTAAAATTTATTTGATACTTCCCTGTATTGTTTTAAAAATTAAATACAAAGAATGAGAAATCCCGGAAATTCGTAATTGTAATTTGATCCCTAAACCATAACAATTAACATCATTGGGTATCGGCACGTATTGGTAACCATAAATCATTCACCCACTCTTAAAATTTTATGTATATATGGTATTATGGTAAATATTATGACCTAAATTAAATTCTGATCTGATGTGAGCCGCCTTTGGTCCCATAAAATTTGAATTATGGGTGTTTGGAATAATACGACCTAATTATTTAAGGTCTCTTTAACTTTTAAACAGCGTTTTCTGCGATTGCCATACCAATAATCACTCTAAATAGTTTCATTTTCATTATTTCGTTAGTAAACATTTTAACATTTAAACCGCATATTTATAATAGAAGGCGATACTATTGGTTCTTACGTCACATATTTAAAGCATAAACGTATTTTATTTATATAGGTAATAATGCTCTTTCGATAGTACTAATTTTGATCATATTGAAATCGAGTCGAATGAAATATCGCAAGCTAAAGTTCATTGTTAATGTAACTTTGTAACCTATTGGATTAAAAAAACCGAAAACCGGTTTTTGGAAAAACCGGTTTTTTTTGGCCGGTTATAACCGCCAGGTTAAACCGTAAGCAAAAAAAACCGGTATAACCGAAAACTGGTGTTTTGCCAAAAACCGCCATCCCTACTTTATCAAGAAAACCTGATTTTATTATTATGTAATATACTGTACCTGGTGATAAATACAGGTATATACATCAAGATTGTTCAACTGAACTACTTTTTTTATCTACTGTCTATTGTAAATGCACCAAATGCAGAAAATAACACTTAACGCAATATTACCGAAATTATAACACATGATAGCATTATTTTAAAGGTTTGTCAGAAACATTTAATAAAATAAGTATCATGTATAACGTTATAACATCAGGTACTATACACATGGAAAAATAAATTTAATCATCATCCAAGATCAAGATGTGACAAATGAAAGCCCTCATCAACATATTCATATATTATCAAGTAAATAGCAAATGAATGCAAATATAGAGGCGTTATATTTTTTTCTTTTTTAAGGTTATTGCAAAATTAGAGAGGATTAGAAAAATTAGAGAGGATAATTGGGCGTTTTCATTTGACATTAACTTTCATCTTAAGCGATGACAATGTTTATTTTACTATATGTGTAGTATACTATTATAATATCCCAATCATTTCCATCATGTTTGTCAACTTCTTATCGAATTTTCATTCTTTAAATTTGAAAAAAAGTAGCGCTAATAAGAGTGATACCAATCATATAAAATACGGTGGATTACAAAAATCTTTATTACTTGACTAAAAGCACTCTTGTATCAATTTTAAATTAAAAATTGTTTACTACCAAGTCCATTGCACGCCGTGAATGGTATTCAGATGTCGTCGTCGTACAAACAACAAAATGTCTAATGATAATTTTAGAACTAATTAAATTTTTTTAAATTAATACCTCACGTTCTCAATCAAACAAAATGTATAGAAAGAAAGATTTGTACTATTTTTTAAGTTCGGTCCTCAAATGATTAATAATAAATTAATAATACTCAAATAATTTACATTAAATATCACTTAAATATAGTAGGTACGCCTTCTTCGGTATGGAGAGCAATCATGGCATATCAACAAATTTAAAAAACTGTGTAAGCAGGTATATATTGTATTAATATCAACAAAATGCTACAACAATTCAGTAGTTGTTGTAAGGGATGTTGTTTTCATTGATTCAATATTTTGGAAAACACTGATACCAGTAAATGCTGTGATAGGGATAAGTGACAATAATAGTGATATTGAGAATAATGGAATTGGTTAAAAAAATACAATATGATTTATTATGTCATTATTTTTTTGTCGTGGCAATTTTTCATCATGAACCTATAACCTAATCATTATTTCATTGACGTGCAACAGATTTAGGAGAAAACGATCTTTGTAATGAAATCAAGGTAATATATGTTTCCACCATTAGATTTTTATTATATCTTCTACTATTTGAAAGACAACTGCTAAAGAAATTATTTCTTGTTTTGTCACAATTAAATAACCTTAGCAAATAATATAACCGCTACTAATCTGAAGCTTTAAATGGGAGAGCACGCTATAATAGTGGTCCAATATCGTAGTAATATAAGATGCGTTGTCATTCGAGCTAAAGTTTATTTGTAATATGCGGAAAATTGTAAAACTATGGAGGAGTACTTGTGCGTTTCTTTCTAGAGGAAGCTATAATGGAAGCACTTGCCTAGTGAAAGAAAAAGGTTAAATGAATTTGATTTTAAATTTAATTACCAAATTTAAGTACTGAATCTACAATTTTGAATTTTATATTACTATCAAGAGTAACATAAAAAATGAATACCAGTTGTTTGACAAATTTTGTACATATCCGAAAACCTCAAGAGACTATTGGTAAAATCTATTAGTTTTGTTAATATGGATGTCGTAAATGATACAATTGTTGTATTCGGCATCAAAAACACCTGCGAATTATTCATGTTACATTGTTTTACTTCGAAATCGTTACCAAAATAAAAGCATTCCGTGAGCAATATCTGGCCACAGCTGGAGTTTTTTGTATATATAGAAAAATTACAGCATATTATAATTTCTAAACTAGTAAATTTTTAGATTTATTTGTTTTTTATATAAATGGCAGCATTCTTGCTAAATGTATGAGAAGCCTGAGAGCGTTACTCCAAAGACGCCTCAATGGGGCGTATCTGAGTGTTAAAAAGTGCCACATACACATCACCGACAGAACTTGGAATATTTTGTATGTCCAAAACAACTTCGACATGTTTTTTCTAGCTTTTGGTAAGGTATCAGCATCTTCTTTAAATATAAATCTGCAAAAATACCAAACATTATTTACCATATATAAAATGACTATATTTGAGACAATATTATTTTATAAATTTTAAAAACTTCAATAACAATATTCGTTAACACTCTATTTTTGACCTATTAGTTATGAACCCACAATTTATCTATAAAATCACACCAGTTTCAAATAGACAAAACTGCTATAAGAATTATAGGAATAGAAGCCATGGTGGATGTCAGAAGTATCAAAGACGATTCACATTATGTTTGGGTACATTTAAGGTTATGATTAGCAATATACAAGTTGAGTCCATGGTTCCTTACCCGTGCGTCATTAATACCTGGCGAGATAAAACACATACTTTTTATCTAGCATTATTGTCTTCCACGCATGAAAATAAAGACAAACCAGCTACCGCCTGTTAGTAAAGTAAAGTAGAGACACATGTTATTTTTATGAACACTCTAGACTCAATACATCGAAAAGAGATAGGTACAAAAAAGGCGCTTGGGACGTTTTCAGATTTTATGTACAATTTGTGACGTTTCTGGTTTGTTTACTTGTGTCTGTCAGTTTGTTGGATTTTTTGCTGTTTTTTTTTGTCCTGGTTTTGCATTTAGAATTTATTTTATTTATAATACACAAACAGTTGATTTCACAACTAATTTTATACTTGAGTTTGAAATTTTATCTTCTTCTTCTAGTGCCGTCTCCACGAATAAAGGTTGGCTATAACCATTCTCTATCTTCTGCTTTTCTTAAGAGCGTCTGTGTGTTTAACCCGGTCCAGTCGCGAATGCTTTTCAGACAAGATATTTGTCGTCTACTTGGACCAGTTGTTTCCTTCGATTTTACCCTTCATAATCAGCTGCAATGTTTCGTACTTACCATTTCTAAGTATGTGCCCCAAATATACTGTCTTTCGTGTTTTATGGTGGTTAAAAGTTCCCTGTCTTATCGTCTATCTATGTTCTTATCTTCAAAATTCTCCTAAAAAGCCGCATCTCAAAAGCTTCTAGTTTTCTCATTAAGTCAACATTACCAGTCCAGGCTTCGACACCATAAAGAAGAATAGAGTGGATATAATATTTTACCATCCAATATCGGATTTGCAGATGGAGTCTTTGGTTACTAAGAAATTTCCTCATCTTCAAAAAGACTGCTCTTGATTGAACTATTCTTGAGCGAATTTCTGATTTCGGATTCAGATCTTCTGTAATCCAGACTAATAAGTATTTCATTTTGTCCACTTGCTCAATATCTTCATTTTTTAGTTGGATCCTTGTAATGACTTTGACCCTCTTACTGATAACCATGGTTTTTGTTTTCTTTATGTTTATCGTTAAATCAAACTGTTCCCCAGTATCACAAATTGTGTTTAGTAACGAATGCAGATCTGTCTCACTTTCAGTGAAAATGACTGTATCGTCAACATAAAGGATGTTATTTATATTTTCACCATTTATCTTGATTCCTTCTGTACAGTTTTCAAGTGCTTGCGTAAATAACTCTTCGGAATCTATATTAAATAGTAATGGTGAAAGTACACAGCCCTGTCTCACTCATCTACTTATCTGTTGCGCATCCGTGCTATTTCCTTCTAATGTTACCACAGCCTGTTGGTTCCAATAGAGATTTCTCACTATGCTAATGCCTTTTTGTCCTTTTCTCTTTAGACATTCCATGAGAATATTAAGTTTAACTTTATCGAAAGCTTTCTCATAGTCTATAAACACAACGAAAACGATTTTTTGGGCAAGAGTTGTGAAACTATACAGAGCTACCACTGTTCCGAAGCCGTTACGAAAGCCAAACTGTCTATTACTCATATTCGCTTCGCACTTTCTGAATATTCTTGCATGTATAATCTTTAAAAATGTTTTGAATAAGTGTGACATTAAGCTGATTAATCTATAGTCATTACAGTGTTTGGGGTTCTTGGTTTTTGGTAGCGGAACAAAGGTCGATAGCAGCCATTCTGTATCTCATCAGACTTGTACATGTTGTTAAAGAGTATAGTTATTGCACTTAAATTGTCTTCGTCTATAAGTTTATTCAGCTCGATATGAACTTCATCTGGCCCAGGGGCTCTGTCAGATTTTGAGTTGTTTATATCATGTTGGACTTCAGATTTTAATATTATTGGAGCTTCCTCTTTATCAATTTGTGTTGGTTCCGTTGTTGTGTCCATGAAAAGATTTTCAATATATTTAGTCCATACTTGTTTTACTTCAATTGGGTTATTAATAGGTTTATTGTTTATGTCAATTAATCGGTTAGGTGTATTTGTTCATGATTTTTCAGTTAATTCGTTCACTTTTTTATGTAAATTATAATGATCATGAAATCCACTTTTCCTTAGCCTCTTTTATTTTGTTCCTTATTAATTATTTTTCTTTGTACTTATTTGGGTTTTTGTTTCTATATTTTCTTCTTTGTTCCATGATTTCCAGTATTTCTTGAGTTATCCAAGGTTTTCGGCTTTCTGTTGTCTTTTGAAGAGTTTCTTCCTGTGTTTTATAACAGAATCTTTGATTTTGCTCCACATAATGTTCACATTCTCAGTGTTTTTCATTTCTGATGTTAATTTCTTCATTTCTTAATCGATACAAGTTGAAGCCTCAGCAAGGATTTCATTTATCTTGAGTAACTGAGTATTCACCTTAGAACTTTTGGATTTTATTATCTTTTTTACCCTCAGTTTCATTTTTTTAAGACAAGGAGGTTATGTTCTGAGGGGACATCTGCTCCAATAAAAGTCTTAACGCTTACAATGGAATTTCTAAATCTTAGATTGGTTAGAATAAAGTCGATCTGATTTCTAATGCAATTTTGTTCATTACGTCACCTGTGGCGAGTTCCAGGTATACAGTCTACGGTTTGGTAATCGAAACCATGTGTTTACAATCGCCAGGTTTTCTTCTTGACAAAATTGAGCCAATCTGTTGGCTCTAGCATTCCTTATTCCCAAACCATAATCACCTATTATATTGTCGACTCGGCCTTGTCCTATCTTTGCATTTAAATCACCCATTATTACAATAATTTCTTCCTTTCTTGTGTACTGTATAAGTTGTTTGAGTTATTCGTAAAAATGTTGTATTTCAGCAGAAATGTTAACGGTAAGTGTATTTTATTTTACCATTAATTTACATACAAATTTAACCTCATTCACACAATTATGAAGCGGTTTTGTTTAAAATTCCGCAAAAGTGAAAAAAAAAATGACAAAAAGAAAGTATTTTATTGATTTTTTTTAGGACATGTCTGGAAAAACTCTTATCTCACAAGCACAAGAACTCGTTATAAAACTAAACGAGAACTTTGAATTAAAAAAAAAGAGAATGGGGACCGTTGGAACCGTTGTCATTTGTTCAAGAGGTACAAAATGTACAATTTTCAAATGTGAATAAAATATTTATAATTAGAAACTTTTTATTTTTGGGTTTTTTTCAATTTCATTTAAAAATATTTATAATATTTTATCTTTGTTTTATAGGGTAGCAGCTGCACTTTAATTGGCGAGAAAAATCGTATAAAATATATGAAAAAAAGAAAAGAAAAAATCCTGTTTTGCCTTCTCCGGGAAAAATTAGACCTCGTTTAAAAACGAACACTACTGATTTACCCGAGGACAATAAAATGGCAATTCGAAATACAATAATATGTACCAGGATAGTAAGTAAACCAACTTTTTGTTGAGAATTACAAGTAGGACATGATATGTTATAATAATATTACATACGTAAATAACTTTTTAGGGAAAGATGTAACCCGTGAAGCGTTGATCAATGAGCTGCAGGCTGAAGAAATTGTTTCTGCAAGTAAAACATCCTTGAGTAGAATATTAAAAGATTTGGACTTTCAATTAAAAAAGATGACCATCAAAGGCTTTAATTGAAAAAACTCATATTGCAGCACAACAAGCGTGTTTCAGACGCCAGTTTGTTATTTTGTTCCAAATCTTTGACTGCAGATTATCACGGTGAAATGAATAGTGTGCAAAATTTTCTAAATGGATAAGTATACAATTACTTTCCAATTTAGAACACCCATCTTTGATTGTCATGGGCATGTGACTTAGTAGATTGTATAGACTATTTCCTAATTGACTGTCCTAAATATACCATTAAAAGATGTGTATATCGTATCACGAATAGCTTGTAAACGCTACTTGGAAATAACACTATAGAAAACTAATAAGGTATCTAGTAGAAATATGTCGTATTTTTAATGTAAGTACTGTTAAACGTATTAAAATATACCATATTCGATAGGTCGCTAATACCCTTCCGGAGGATGCAGCTTTTTGTTTTAAATAAAGAAAACTGCGTAAACATTATTTTGTATATCTGTGTGGTTAGATAACATGACAAAATATCTAAGCATATTTACCTTCTAATTCCTAAGACGTAATTTTCTAAATAATGTTCCCAATTTATTCGGGCAACATCAAAACAGAACTCTTCTCTATCTGATTCACTGAGAACCATCGCTAGCTGTCGTACATTTTCGTCATCAAATTTCCACTCATTGGTTGTAAAATATTGTAAACATGATGCAGCTTTTTCTAACTTTTCCTGCACTCTCATTAATCTAAAAATTAAATTTAAAATGTATTCCTATGTTGACAAAAAAACTTAAATAAATAATTAAACCATTAAATATACAGTGTAGGAAAAATTTTATGGTCGGTATGGTAAAATTTAACAGGATATCTAACGCAGATATAAAATCATATTTTCAGCGAATAGACAAAGATAACAATCATATTTCCCCTTGGTCTCCCCTCCTCAAATATTTTTAACACCTATTGGCCATTAGTGAGACGAATAGTTCCGATCAGAGATATTTTACATATTCTGTGGTTCCGATCCTAATATACCTAAAAAACTAGAGGTGGGTCCTCCCGTTTTTTAAATTTTTATCGGAACCGTTTTTCGTAAACTGTAACTAGTTGATTCAAATTAGCGAGTACACAAACATATTGGCTATTATCGTTTATGTGTATAAGTATTGAAGTGAAAGAACCTAACGAAGGATATATTTATTATAACTTGAAAAATAAATTAAACAATACAAATAGTACTTACATTTACATTAAATCGTACTTACATTTACATTACACGTTATTATTAAATCGCGAATCATCTAAATTGACATTTAAAAACAAGTTTTTCTACTTTTCTTGTTACAGTGTTCTTCTTTTATTTAAAATTAAACCAGATTTAAAACATGTGTTCACAAGGAAAAGATTTTGTTAAAATTCTACAATATTTTATGAATATAGTGGCTAAGTTAGGATATACATGGCGATGGTTTTTTCCACCACGGTAATGGACATTCCAATCTCCGTTCGAAATTTATTGTGGGTAATATATTATCAGACAAATACATGTCGACTTCTTGTATATCTCTCGATACAGTTGTATGTTTAGATGAGTCATGTCCAATTAATTCATCAAAAATACACAATGGACTTAAGTCATCTTTATAAGTTTCTTTTCTTGACTAAACTTATTGATTTACTAAACTTATGCAAAGACTCGTTTCATCCGTTTTCTATAGGTGAAGAACCAGCTTTTAAAAAGTTTGCAGGGTGGATTCCTGGATATAAACCGCCAACAAGAAAAACTGTTGGATTCATTACTTTAGGAATGTTATGTCAAAACTGATTTGATAATAGATAAAATAAAAAGTCCTTTTTTTCGACAATTCTGCAAAAAACATTAAAAAAAAGTACCTTATCTTCAGAAGGCTTTTAAAGTATTAATTACAACATAACAAAGTTCCCAAACGGCCAATCCAAGACGTGGAAACTAGGTAGAACTTCACCTATTACAGGTTAAAAAGAATGACTGAGTTAGAAGAGGCAATCCGTTTCACTTCTTCTTCTTTAAGTTCCATCTTCTATCGAAGGTTGGAAATCATCATGGCTATGCGACTCTGTTGACTGCCGCTCTAAAAAGGTCTGCACTACTGCATTCAACCATTCCCTTAAGTTCTTAGGCCAGGATATTCTTCGTCTTCCCACATTTCGCTTTTCTCGGATTTTGCCCTGCATAATAAGTTGTAATAATGCGTATTTTTGCCCTCTCATCACATGTCCCAAGTACTCAAGTTTTCGTCTTTTAATAGTTAATATTATTTCTGCCTCATTTCCTATCCTTCTAGTTACTTCAATGTTTGACATTTTTTGAATCCATGATATTCGTAGGATTCTTCTGTAACACCAAAATTCAAAGGCGGCCAACTTATTCAGATGAACTTGTTTTAGTGTCCAAGCTTTCAGACCATAAACAAGAGTAGAGAACACGTAACATCGAAGCATTCTCAGGCGTAGTTCTAACCTTATATCCCGACAACAAAGAAACTTTTTAAGTTTAATAAATGATGTACGTGCTATTTCAATACGTGTCTTAATTTCTTTGGTTTGGTCTACATCTGATGTTATCCATGTTCCTAAGTATTTATAGTTATTAACACTCTTAATTGCAGTATCTTCAATAGTCAATTGGATATTTGTGCAGATTTAGTCATGATCATGCATTTAGTTTTCTTTAAATTTATCTTCAGTCCGTACTCATGACAGCGTTCGTTAAGGCGTTGCATTAGGTTCTGTAAATCATTGTTGTTATCCGTAATTATTACTGTATCGTCTGCAAAACGTAAGTTATTCAAAACTTCTCCATTGATAGATATACCTTCTATTGAGTCTGAGAGCGCTTCTTAAAATACCGATCACTGTAGACATTGAAAAGTAGTGGGGACAGCACGCAACCCTGGCGGACTCCTCTCTGTATTTTGATATTTTCGGTGTACTGGCGTGTATTTCCGTTCCACATCGGTATTAAATAATACAGACTTAGACTTAGACCAAATCTAAATAAAAAACACTGGATTATTTGTTCTCAGCTCTCCCAAATTTTACGACCGTTTAAAGAAATAACAAGTACAATGAGTGACCAAATATACTTGAAGGGTAGTTCAGTGAATGTTATGGTACGCGGCCTGCAAGAATCTTGCAAGAAAATTTTAGCAAACGGTAACCTTACATCCATAGTATCCGACGTAGTACAATTACTAATATCGGGTTTAGCAAAAATATTTAAAGGGATAGAACAGAGTGGCATATTGTCATTATGTACATTTATGGATTCACCATTTAAAGTGCAGGGTTTTTCTGATAAAAATGAAGATAAAAAAATAAAAGAAAAAGTTAAGAAGCTGGTTACTTCTATAATTAACGAACAAGAAGATTGTACTATTTAAAATCAACCAGTACAAGAAAAAGAAACCAATAAAGATGACTTAAATCCATGGTGTATATTTGATCAATTAATTGGAGATGGCTCAACTACACGTACACCTGTATCGAGAGTCCATTACAACGATGGAAAAACCATCGCCATGTATATCCTAACTTAACCCCTATATTCATACAGTATTGTAAATGTGAACACATGTTCAAAATCTGGTTTAATTTGAAATAAAAAAAGAAGACGGTTAATAAGAAGTAGGTATAGTAGAAAAACTTATGTTTTTAATGTCAATTTAGACTATTCGCGATTTAATAATAACGTGTAATGTAAATGTAAGTACGATTTACTATTTGTATTGTTTAGTTTATTTTTCAAGTTATAATAAATATATCATTAGTTTCTTTCACTTCAATAAATATACACATAAACGATAATAGCCATTATGTTTGTTTATGTAGGTACTCTCTTACTTGAAACTACTTTTAAACAATCATAGTTACTTGTTTACCAAAATTTAAATTTTTAAATTCATTCATTTTTTTTGGAATCCTGAGAAAACTAACAAATATTTTTGAAAAATTTAAATGCAGAATAAAAGATTACATTATTACCGAGGGCCGAAAGTCCCTTAGAATAAACAAAAAGTTTTTTGAATGAGATATTTGAAATTAAAAATCACACTAATTTTTTTTCGCCCTTATTAAAATAAACATTATAGAAGTTTTCAGGGACTTTTGGCCCTCGGTAATAATGTATTGGTTCATTCTGCGTTTAAATTTTTCAAGAATATTTATTAGTTTTATCAGGATTCGAACAAAATGAATGCATTTAAAAAATATTAATCCGAATTTTATGCCTACGCTCTTAACGATAAAATCACCACGACCCACCTCTACTACCCATTACTCGGTATTCTGACCAGACGGACGACGTTGCCAAATAAATTATTGTGTATGAATATTTTTTAATGTGGTGTTATTGTGTGCAGTTTATTATTTCATATTGGGAATAAGGCACAATGTGACTTTAAAATAAGCTTATTTTGATGTTTAGATTTTTAATTCGGAAATCGTACTTAAAATACGAAACATTAATAAATTTTATTTATATAAAACGATTTCCAAAGTGGAAATCAAAATGTTATATTACACTTATTGTAAAGTAAACTTGTGGCATATTCCCAATAAAAAAAAACAGTAAGCTGCCATTTAAATCAATTTCGCCCAAATTGGATTATCTTAGAACATTGTTAAAATGCAAAAAAAAACAACAGGTCAAATAAATCCAATAAGTTTGGCAACGTTGAACTTCCCCTTTCCAGGCATGCATATTGTTCGGTGGTTTGGCGATATAAAGGGCGGACCTAATTTACCTCTCTCTTTCTAAACAGCTGTTTCTCACTCCATCTCACGTAAGGTCCATACCGACCATAAAATTTTTCCTACACTGTATATGAAGACATGAAATAAATAATGTAGTAAGTGCCAAAAAATCTAATTTTTATTTTATACCTTTTAAATGTTCCAATAATAATAATGCGCTAAGTCGACGGGTTATTACGTACTTACAAAATTCTCAACAGAGTGCGTGTTTGTCAATCGGCAAAACGTTGCCGGTAAAAAAATATGACAGTTTCAATACTGTTTTGATGTTGTATTAGTAAAGTTGTTATTGTTTATCTCATTCTGTATAATCTTAAAATCATATAAGAATGAATGCTGGTGCTATTTCTAGAAAGGGCAATAAGCAAAAGGAAAGGCAGAAAAAAAGAAATGCTGGAGAAGAGTACTAAATAAGAAAAATAAAAAAATTCCTGTTAAGCAGCCACCTGAAAATAAGGTAGTTGAATATTGTTTTTATTTTTGGGCAGTAGTTATTCTGAAATTAAGGTTAGTCGAATATTGTTTTTATTTTTGGGCAGTAATTATTCTGAAATTTTGTTTTAGATATTTTGCAAATGCAACTTAAAAGAGATACAGTATAAACAAAAATTGAGGTTTTTTCACGAATTTTATGGTATGAATGATAATGTACGGAGAAATACGTATGCTATGAATTTTATCCATGTGTGTGCTACCAAGAGAAGAAGGCATGGAAATTATGAGAGACCAGAAGAGAGTAAGAGACAGGTTACGCTTTCCTTCACATTGCCCAACGGAGAAGGCAACATTTTACAGGTGTGTAAGAAGACTTTTGCGCAGTGTTTGGAATAACTCCAAGACAAATTGAAAATTAGTTAAGTTGAAAAAGAAAGGAAATTCAGTGGAAAAGGAAATTCAAATAAAGTGAGAAACAGTATCTGAGCTCTGATCTCAATACAAATATACTTTACTTGGCGTCCTGATTCAGCAGTGAGCTATCGTTTTTACTTTCAAATTTTCAAAAAGAATTATCATAATTTAAGCTTTAACGGATACCTGTGCTACCTGTGATTTACTGCACATGCAAACAAAAGATCCCACACAGAAAGATGCTCAATTTAACTTAGAACTTCACCACCTAAAAGCTGAAGCAGCTGTAGAAGCAATGAGAAAAGACCATCAGAATTGTCACCAACCCACGAGTGACACCATGATAGTTTCTATGGATCTACAGCAGGTCCAATCATTGCCAACTTTAACTAATAGTCAAATGTATTATATGCGGCAGCTTTCTAACTACAACCTTTATGTTTACCTAGGGGACAATAACACTAGCTTCATGTTTTTGTGGCATGAGGGTATAACAGGGCGTGGAGGGAATGAAATTGCGTCGTGTGTGTTGAAAGCACTCACTAATATACGGATACAGAAACGAAAAGTAACAATTTGGAGAGAGAGAAAAATAAAATGTTATTGTTTTTATGCATTTATTTAGTTTCCAAGGGGTATTTCGATGAGATAAATCACAAGTATCTAGTATCGGGTCATTCATTTATGAGTTGCGACAGGATTTTGCCCAAATTGAAAAGCGAAAAAAGCAAGAAGTGTGAATGTGAAGTACCTACGGATTTGGTAAGAATGATGACAACAGCTGTAAAGAAAACACCATTTCTTGTTGCATCAATGAACAGTGAGGACTTCTTCGCTTTTAAAGTTGCTTCTGAAAGTTCAATCATTACATCCAAGCTTCAAATTTCAAAAGCTAAATGGATCAATATTAACCGACAAAATGCGGGATTAGTTAAAATACGAGAAACTCTGAATGAATTAGAAACTTGGAAAGCAACAAAGGTTTTAAAGAGAAATGTTACAATTAAAACTATTGTAGTAATTACTCTTCTTCCTAACTTGACCTGCCAGAGTAGAATTTCTGAAAAAAAAACAAAACTTGTCAATGATTCCCTATTGGAAGAAAGAAAATAGAAAATTTTATGAAGACCTATTTAATCCTAATGCTCCTTAGTACCTACATGTTTTGAGTTTTTTATTATTAATTACCCCAATATTTTATATTTTTGTGATGACACTTAGCACATTCTAAGATTTTATAGCTGTTTTATTTTTTCTACGATTATTTTACAAAAAGTTCGCAAAATTATTTAAAGCACAAAAACATAATTCGCTTGAATAAACCTATGTTTAATTTTAAGAAAGTTATTTCTAATACATTCATTGTGAAAGAAAAAAATCGATTATTTCGAAATAATGATTTTGGCACTTACCACATTATTTAAGTCTTCATTATATTAAAAAAATATAGGACAAAAGAAGAGTTTAGATGCAACATATGGCATATGGAGAAAGTCAAGGATATTGAGACATTGCTAAAATATAGATACGACAACCAGCTAAGTAAATAATACGGAAAATTTGTTATCTGATATATGGAATAATATAGCTAAGCATATGTGGAAATTATTACGCTTTCTAGAATTTTGCCATGAGCCACAATTGAAAAGGGATATACATAAGTAATTTAAAATGCCACAAGAAAATAGCTTCAGAACAATATTAAGAAACCGTTATGGGCCCAGCGTTATTCAAAATTTTCGTAGATTGGAAATTCTATACAACAAATTATATCATTATCGATTAGCATGTTTTGAAAATAAAAGATACTTACATAGGTTTTCCACCGGACAACCAGACAAAAGAATCGATTATATAAGCTGGGATCCAATGCCATATTACCTGCCTTACGCTATTGACGAGTCTGTAGGATGTAAGAGAACCTTGTGGGTAAAAGGATACGTCTAACACTGGATGCTTCCGACTATATTTAAAACAATAATCTACGAATTCTTTCCACTTGATAGGTTTTCGCATGCCTGAAAAAAAAAACAATATAAAATATCCTTACACACTAAATGTCAGCAACATTACTACTCATTATTTGAATATAATATCAGTACGAACGCACTGAATTTAATTTTGCATTTCCTAATATTTTCTCAACTAATTTACGATTTTTTGACAGAAGCCAGTAAATTAGTTGCTGCGTACTCGTCAGATTTAAGTAATGAGTTTTTGGAGCAACTGCAATTTGTTAGAAAATCATTTATGATGCAGCCAAAATTTTTCTTATAGATGTTCATTGCACTAGTGCTTGCATACCAGAGTTGTGTCATGCGTACATCTTGTTTTTAACTTTACCCGTCACGACTGCTAGTTCAGTTTTTCTAAACTTCTTCTTCTTCTTCTTTTTATATAGACATGACTGTCTGTTTTTCAATGTGCCTCCAATAAGTTGTCATTCTATCGTTTTCGTGGTCTTCCTACTAATCGTCTTGCTATTAGCGAACCGTCTCTTGCCGTCTTTACTACTCTATTTGTTGTCGTATGGCTTATATGATCGTTCCATTCTACTCTTCTATTTCTTACCCAGTTTTTGATGTTCTCCACTTGCATCTACGTCGTATGTCTGTACTTCTAGCTCTGTCCCATAGTGTCTTACCATCAATTTTTTCATCTCTGATGTTTCTAACATCTTTTTTGTCCTCTCTGTGTCAGGTCTTGTTTCTTCGCGTATATCATTATTGGTGTGATGACTGTTGTAAATTCTGCCTTTCGTTTCTTTACCGATATTTTTATTTCTCCATATTGCTTCATATACGCAGCCTACGGCTCTGTTTGCTCTACTAACTTGATCTTCCACGTCGGTTTTGAACTTTCCGTAGTTAAATCATGTGATGCTTAGACATTTAAACTCCATCACTTGCTCTATTATCTGACCTTCCAGCTCCCATTTACATCTTAGTAAATTTGCTGTTGTAACCATGCATTTTGTCTTTTTTGGGGAAATTAACAAGTTAAATTTTCTGGCGGTTATATTAAATTGGTGCAGCATACGTTGTAAATCATCTTCAATTTGAGAGAGTAATATTGCGTCGTCTGCATAGCAGATTATTTTAAGTTGTTTTTCTCCCATTTGGTATCCTTTTTTAGTTCTTACTTTTTTTTATTATTTCATCCATAATCAGGTTGAACAATAGAACACCCAGGGAATCTCCCTGTCTTACCCCATTGCCAGCTTCAATAGCGTTGGTTAGTTCTTCTTCTACTTTAACTATTCTTATGTTGTTTAGGAAGATATTTTCGATCGTTTTAATTATTCCTAGAGGTATCTCTCTTGCATACAGTAAGTGGATAACTTCTTTTGATTTGACCCGGTCAAATGCCTTTGTAAGGTCCACGAAACATAGATATGTCGGTTTGTTGTATTCCAATGATTTCTCTTTCTCTTGCCTCATTATAAATATAGCGTCGGTGCATGACATAAAACCTTGTCGTTCTTCTGCTAGTGTTATAATTTCATTCAATGTATTTGTTATCACTTTAGTTGTTAATATTAGTGTTATGTTTAATAAATTAATTCCTCTGTAATTTTCCGTGTCCGATTTGTCTCCATTTTTGAAGAGAGGTATTAGGATGTTTGATCTCAATTCTTGAGGAATTCTGTTTTGTTCTATTATTTTTTTGGATTAGTTTTAATAGTTTCAGGTCTGGTCCTCCGTACATTAGGAGTTCGTTCGGTATTATGTCTTCTCCTGGTGATTTTCTATTTTTTAATTTATTTAATTCTTCCTTTACGTCTTCCCCCTCAATATATATTTTTTCGTTTGTCGTCACCTCTGGTGTTGGTGGTTCATCATCGTCACCTTTAGCAACTAGGGATCGACAGTAGTCTACCCATGTTTCCTTCTGAATGCGTTTTATTTTTATTAGTTCGTTCATATCTTTTCTTTGTCCTCTAATCAGTCTTCATATTTCTTTTTGTGTTCCGTCTGTTTTGAGAAATTTTGCCAGTGTTCCTTTGTTATTTGTTTAACTAAAGTATTAGTTTCATTTATGAACGTTTCTAAACTTAAATTATTAAAATCATATCTTCGAAGTACAATGTCAGAAGCACGACTATCTTCTCTAGCGCTTAAAAGTATTGAAAATGAAGTTGTCCAACAGATATATATTAATAAAATTGTAGATATATGCTCTGATAGTACTGCACGAGGAGAGTTGTGCATCTCATAGAATAATGCTATGTAATGATGTAATCGTTTACTAATTTTTGTTCTATAAACAGTCCATGAATAAAGTAACACATATAAGTTTTTGTTACACAAATTGCATTTAGTAATTTTTTAAACGTGGCCCATTTCCAATTCAGCAGGGGCGGAGGCGAGGGAGTTTGTAACGGCCACTGTTGTTATACTTTATAAGAATCTTTTATATACTTAACTAAAATGGGGAATTCAACTGAAATTTGAACAGCAAGGTAAAAGTAAGATTTGGCGGAAATATATAAAACACATTTTAATATGACGTATTGATTAAAACAATGAATACAATTCTGTTATTGAACGGATAAAAAATAATTGATGGATTCGACCGTTACTTGATGGAAATTCATTTTATGTAACAATAAAACACCGAAAACTTTGTTTTCAAACTTCCACAAAAATTTTAAAATTGTTGGATAAAATTATCCCGTTGGATAAACAATAATTAAAAAAATTATAACCTATACCCTGAATTCAATAGGATTGTCAGGGCAAACATTTTGTAGTTCGTAAATACTCTATAGGCTATATATTTATTTATTTATTAGCACACATATTTACTTCTCAATTATCATTTTTGTCGTGCAGCTTATCAGTGTCATTGAGGTATACCTGAAAGTCAAGAGAGGGACAGACGGACATTTTTATCCTTTTCGAAAGTAATATTCTTATTGCAATACGGCAACATTCTTAAAACTCGCCGGCAAATAGTGGAAATAAATATTAAAATCAGGTAGTCAGAAGTATTACATGAGCGCACAGTCGGGTAACATGGCATCAATACCAACGTGCAGTACATATGTTAATAAACAGGATAAAAGGAGGTGGTTATCTGTGAAGAAAAACAAATAATTAAATCGATTTATGAGGGTTTACGTAGAAGAAGATATGTTTATAGAGGACGTCGCGACATTGTATTGTGATTTAACGAGAATATCGGCTCGTACGGTTTTTCGAATAATTCAAGATAATAAACCACTTCAAAAAAATATTCATAAAAGACATACAGAAATTGTATTGGACGATATTACGAAAAGTATAATCCGAAGAACAGTTCATGGATTTTATTTTAGGAACGAAATGTTGACGTTAAAGGCTATTTAACGAGAAATTAATGCAGAAGCAGATTATACTTTTATATAGTTAGACGCAGATGATACACAATGGAAAGATCAATATTAGATATTACCATAAGAGATAAAGTACCAAACCTAGAAATAAGAATAAGATCAGGAGTCACAGATGCAGTTGAAAAAATAGCCATGGCTAAATGTGCTTGGGCCGGACATGTTGCCAGATTGACGGAAGATAGATGGACCAGAAAGATTCTGGAATGGCGAACAAGGCAAGATGCATATCGAAGCAGAGGACGACCACCGACTAGATGGACGGATGATATCAAGCGCATCACCACAAACTGGATGCAAGAAGCTCAAGATAGAAATAGGTGGAAAATTTTACGGGAGGCCTACGTTCAGCAGTGGACAAATATAAGCTAATTGATGATGAGATAATAGTTTAAATAAAATATCTATGCGGGTATTACAAAGAGGGTTCCGTGAAATGGATTTTCGGTATGTAAAGAGAAAAGTTTGTTAATAGACTGAGACATATAGATGTCATACGAAATCCAAAGTATGACAAGACTTAAATATTAAAAGTTCACGACAGGCTTTTAATGAGGAACTTTCAACCAGCTTAAAAGCAACTTCATCTAATCTCCAAGCCTTATTTCCAACTTTTAAGTACGTATAAGTATATACGATTTTTTTTCTAAATCATTTTAACTAATTTATTTTAATAATAATTATATTCATTTAGTTATCCTTGCCATCAGTTTGGTTCTTAAAAAAAATGTTTTTTCTATGTCAAGGAAATCTTTAAAACGTATGCAGTCGCTAACACAAGGTTCCTTGTTTTACTTTTTTTGCCATAATAAATGTTTCTTGTTCACTGCTTATTGGGTGAAACTCAATAGCTGAAACTACAACGGGTTCGACCATCAGCATCTCCACCAACTTGAAATCTACTCATTCTGCTACAATCCATCCAACGAGCATCTCAAGCCATTAACAAGTTATCCTATCAACTACATGAAGCTATAAGCATCCATTTCAAATTTGTGTAAAGCTATAGGCACGATTGACTTTGTTTTTATTTAATATTAAAACTTCATTTTATTTCTTTTTAATGTGCAATAAATATGATTAGTTAATATGCTGTTTTATATGTCCCAGTCCCATTGTTCAGATTAGCAATTAAGATAAGACGTTCTCACATCTAAGAGGCTGAGCTAGACGGAGCAAAAACAATTCCCGAAGAAAGTTAGAGTTTTATTTTTATACATGGGCTCCCAACTTTCAGAGGGTAGTTAAATTGTTACAACATACAACATAAAAATTCCTATCACTCATTATTAATTGCTGCTAAAGACTTTTTTGGTCAGTGTTATTTTTATTTGTAAAGTTTATTTTTATAAAAAAACATCTTTACCTCTCAATAAATAATATCTATGGTTTATTTTAAGGCTCCTTTGTATTAAAATAGAGAAAAGTATTTAATTTAATAAAATCGTTTTCTTTTGTATCAGCAGATTGTGTGTTTTTAATTACGAGTAATATAAAAATTTGGTGTATGTCAAAAAAGGTGGCCAATACTGAAGATAAAATCAGAAAAAGAAATATAAAAATTGTGAGAACGAACTTACGATGGCCAAATAGAAATTAAAAAACAGAAGAACAAGATAGAAAAAAATTTAACTTACCTGTGACACAATTATAAATTGTTATATCTTTATTTGGTGTAGTTCCTATCCTCCACGCCGACACTATCATCAAATTAATGACCATATCTACAGGTACAAAGTCTGCTACTTTATTTGGATCGCACAACATGGTCCTAATGAGTCCTTTACCTGCAGCTGCTATAATTCCTATAAATCAAAAACAGCAAAATAATTTCAATTAATGTTTTCAATAACATATTTAGTAAAACGGACAAACCTTTCAACATGAGAATATCCGTCTCTAAAACAAAACGCATGACCACATGAAAGATAACTTTTGAGATGTACGCTTGAAGTAAGTAGATGGAGCAAGTAAGAAATGAAATTGAAATATTTAAATATATATCACACGCTGGCGATATTGGGATGAGTTCGTTTGGTGTTATTCAAGCAACAAGAGCAGCAAAAATGACAGAATGTCTAAATAATACACAAAAAGTCGATGTTTTGATGGTGAAATAAAAACATTAGCATTGAGATCAGATTTAGAATCTACAACACAGCTACAAGAATTAATATTGACATACAATGCAGAAACTAGACCAGATCAGATTAAAAAAAAAACAAAAAACCATTGAAAACAACAGAAATTAATTAATAGCTGAAATACTACTCCTAGACAGAGAAAGTATCGATGGCATCTATTAATAGTTTGCTAAACGAAATATAATGGAAATATGAATAGAATGTAAATGATGAGATAAATTCGAGATCGCTCGAGATAAATTAGCCGTAGGAAATTGAACCACTGGCTGGATAAAACTGTAAAATTTCCTAAAATGAAGAAGGAAATGTAATGAAAATATAAAGAGAATGGAAGAAGAGAATCACTCTGAGATAAATCAGCAGTGGAAAAATAAAGCACTTGCTAGATAAAACTGTAAAATTTACTAAAATGAAGGAGAAAGTGTAATGAAAACATGAACAGAACGGAAGAATAGAATCGCTCGATGTAAATCAGTAGTAGGAAATTGAACCACTGGCTAGATAAAACGGTAAAATTTCTTAAAATAAAGGAGGAAGAAGTATACAAAAAGTTATTCCTACCTGTAGGACCGTTCCAGTTGTCGACCCAACCACTGAGGGGCTCGTTAATACTGCTTAAAACTATACTCGGTCTAATAATGACTATGGGTAAGTCGCCTTTATTTTTTTGTAACCAGCACTCCGCCAGCGCTTTTGTGAATGTGTAAGTGTTGGGCCTCTTGCCTATCAACTTCGACGTAAAAGAATCAACCAAGTCTTCATCCAAAGCTTCAACTAACGTTACTACCTGGTCCGGTCCAATGGGAGGAGGGTAAATCGTTTCTTTCACCTCGGATCTATCACAGTTGCAGTATGCTGTTGATACGTGTACCTAAAAAAAGATAGAGAATAAGTTTAAAACACCAAAATATTTAAAAACTATTTGCTAAAGTAGCATAATCAAAATTTGCACATTGTATAGAAATCTACTTGTGAAATACCATACAATGTCAGTCAAAACATTTAAAAATTGCTTAATGAAAATGAAATTAATACAAATAACATTAAAATATATTTATGAAACGAGGATTTCGAGACTACATATCCAGTTTATTACTTCAGGTGTTGCTTCAAGGATGTCATTCCATGATCCTGAATATGCCCGTAGAGAGCAGTCAGAAGTAATGTTTTGTATAGTTTGTCATGGTCGCAATTAAAATCTGGAGACCAAATCTTACTATTTCTGATAGTACTAGCCCCTGTTGCAGTTAAGTATCAACATACTGTGTGTAAGCGCTGTTTATTCATACCGGAGCATAAAATTCCGCTACAGATTAGACCATCGATCAACATAGCAGAGTAACAGCTGGAGATCCCTAATTTGTTCAACAAAGTTTTTGAATTTGTGTTTTTAATTTGGCATAGACTTTTTCAGTCGGTCAGATAGCTCAGCGGGCTGTGCGGCTGCCTCTCATTCGCTTCACTGTCGAATGGTTTAGTGGATGTGGGATCGAGCCCAAGCTCGGTGTACAGAAAACAAAAAGTCTAACGCAGCAGTTTAAAATTCTAGATGAATCTGCGGCTTAGACTAGGATATGCTGGGATCTGATCGGCCTATGGTGGAGCAGTACGGCAAGAGATAAGGGCTTGCGGCTTGGTGATACTCCTCCATAGATCCCTACCGGACAGGCGTAACGCCTAAAAAAACCGGATATATATATATATAGACTTTTTCAAAAGTTTCTTAAAGGGAGGGTACAGTCTAGAATCTAGTATCATTCCTAGATATTTAGGATACTGATTATTTGGGAGTGCTTTGTTTTGAACGTGATATTTAATTTTTCCTGTGCCATTTTATTATTAACAGTCTCCATTTGTTAAATATTCTTCCATAGTTTTTTAATCTGACGTTAAGTTTCTTCTGTGGTTTCGATGAAGTTATTTTTAGTAGCAAATGTTATATCATCAGCATAGCGTAGCAAAATTAGCAGGAACTGGTATGTGGAAGATCCGAGATGTGCAGATTGAAAAGAAGTCGAAGGAATGAGCCTTGTAAGAGACCACTTTTGAGTTATTTCTATTTACTTATTTTTGGCTTGATAAACTTGGTGAGCTTTATAAACATCACGGATATTTTTAGGCGATTTTAAGATTAAGACGATTACGACGATTAATCCATGTCCATTTTCTTTGGGGTTTTTTCTTAAAGAATGTATACATATCTCATTACATATAGTTGCTTCTCCTCCAAGTAATTCATCAACGTGTGTCCTCTATGATTTCTTTTGCCGTATCCATGGTGTCTTACTTTGTCTTCTTGTTTATATAATTGTTCTCCTATTTTGGGATTGAAGTCCCCCATTAATAGCGTTAATTTTGATTTCTTCCAAAGCTGTTGTTATGTCTTCGTAGAAATGTTCAATATCTTCAACGCTGTAGGTAATTGTTGGAGCGTACACCTGTATGATTTTTAAGAATGTTCTTTTTAATTTAAGCATCTGATATGCCCTTGGTAGATTGTATGTATTTAACTACTTTTTTATTTATTATAAATCCTACTCCATTGTTGGTGTTTTCTTCATTACCTTTATAGTACAGCAAATTTTCTGATTTTAGCTGTATTTTTTGTTCTCCTTTTCTTGTTACTTCGGATATGCCGATAAGTTTATTTTAGTCAGTTCTTCCTCTAGTTCGTGGATTTTAGTGTCTTCGTTCATGAATCTGATTACGTTCCTACATTTATTTTTGTCGAATATTTGCCTAGTCATATATAGCAGGGTTTATTTTGGTATTGGTATTATGATAATCATTGTTAGAGCCCCTACTTTAATTGTAACCATATAAATATCATAGAGATAGAATTGTTGATACTAACTGAACTGATTCAATTCTACTTCTAACATACATAACGACGCGAGGCACGTGATGATAAGGGACTCCTACAAAAGAATATATTTTTCTTCTTTTCATGAACTTTAGCAACATAAATTTTCTGGATAGCCACTACATAATCATTATTGTCAATAACGCATTCGCTTATTGCTCTTCAAATCCTTTCTGTAGTTAGTTGAATAAGCTTGGTAACGTTTCCAAAGCTCCTGGTCAGTTGACTCTTAAAAGAACCGTTTTTATCAGCCGTGTTTGAGGTCATTTCCATTTTTCTTGTAAAAATTAGCCAAGATAAAGATTTTTCAAACTGGTCTGCGAAGACTCTAGTAATAAACGACATATTGTGATAGATTTGAATCTGATATATCCAATGGAAAGTCGAAAAGAACAGGCAATCTAAAAATAAATAGAATTTATAACTTACCAGTGCTTCGAGATGATCCATCCGCTTACAAAGCTCGATGAGCCGTTGCGTGCCTAACATGTTGATCGTAACTGACAGTTTGAGCTTTTCGTCGAATTTAACAGTTGCCGCGCTATGGAAAACTATATTGACGCTGCGCTCCAGTATGGCTCTGTCGTTGGCGCTTATGTTTAATTCCGGTTGTGTGATGTCACCTTCTATGGGCAATACTTTGTGAAGATCTAGGGGCCGTTCTTTGCGGATTGTGTCGAAGAGCTGAAAATAACCAAATTATTATTAATATTACGTAATAGGACTTAAGACTTTTAAAACACAAATGAGTCACATTCTTTCATACTTTCCAATTATTAATTTTTGACCAAGTTCTATATAGGTATGTAAACGTTTATATTGTATTCGTACCAAGGGACTCCAATATTTACTATATAGATATAGAAAACTGAAAAGTAATGGATAAATATAACTAATACTTTTAATGCTCATTTAACTAATCGATAGTAGTTAAAGAATTGTCTGATTCGTGAATCTATACACCTTTTAATTGGTATACGATATTTTAATCATTTATCTATCTCTATATATTTCTCAAATAATTGAATGAATTTCAAATCCAATTGAATCGTATTTACAAATTTTTCTTTGAATGAACATATTAAAAATATAGCAGAAAGGACAGAAGCAACTTAAAAACTTAAAAACAATTTTCGATATAGAATTTGTTCTAAAAAGAATCTAAATAAATTAAAAGTTTGAGTCTACTTGTTTAAAAAATATATCCTTATCTAAGGTGTATCATGGGTGTATCCTAAAATAGTATATAAGCAATTAAGCTTCTAAAATCGGGCCAAGGCAACACTGGCGTATTTACTTTATATAGTGTGTTGCATAACTAATAGGAAAGAAAATGTATACATTTTTAAGTAACTTTCAAATAGCAATGAAACATTTAAAAAATTATACTTAATAAAATATCTAGTTTTCAGTTACGAAATTGAAAAAAGCTTTTATAAATATATTTTGCATTAATGTGAGGCATATATTTTGCATTAATGTGTTGATACCAACAGTAAATAAAAATAGATATAATATATAGAAATACACAGCTGTATTACAACTTGTTTTTTATATGTGGGTGTTTCCACAATTTATATTATTCCCCTAGGTCAGTCAATGTTTTTATACAGATTTTGTTTTTATGTTTTCGTTTCTACGTCAGTGAACAAAAAAGGTCTCTTACAATTTTTTTTTAAAGTTGATCGTATTTGAGTTAAACAATTTAAAACTGTCTAAATTTAAGTTATTCAAACCTTCTATCAGTTTCCGATGAAAATTTTGGGCTTATACTCCAGTCTTAGAGACCAAAATGCCACTGAACCTCTAAAAATCATACGAACCAGCTGAATTTTGGCAAAAATGTCAATTTTAGGACGCCAAAAAAGATACACAAAAAAGTTTACAATTTTTACCCCCGGGCCTTCTCCTAAAACCCCCTCGTAGAGAGGGGGAAAACGGAAAAAGTCGATTTCCCAAGAATCTACACGACATAGAAACAAATGATTTAAATAAAAGATGTCGCTAAGATAATTTTGAACAATAATGTAAATAAGAATTTTTTAATTAGAATGAACCGTTGTTCCGAACCGAAATCAATGTTCAATAAAATTTGTATCAGCTCGACTCTAAAAATTCGATATCTCTGATTCGAGTGACCTATCGACAAAAATCAAAATGCGTTTTAAAACTAAAGGGTCCAGCTTTCGTATGCAATTTTTGTATTTTGCTATAATATATAGCTCACTATAAACTGAGTTTCTATTAAAGGTGTTAAATACATAAACATGGCGCGATTTTTGTCATTTTTTATGATTCTCATGAGATCATTACAATTTATCCCTGTCATTGACCGGCCACTAACTTGAGCCTAATCTTCAAAACCTATAGCACGAAATTTTAGTTTTTTGAGTTTTGGCAACAAAGGTGAGGCAGTAAAAGGGCAGCAGGACTACGAGCACAAAACAGGTCATTTTCTCATGTAAATCTCCATGAGAAATTCTAAGGTCGATTCTGGTCATTTTTGTCTCATTTTGTGGTGGGGGTAAAACGGCTCGTCCAATATTGACGTGTAAGGTATCGTTGGAAAGCGGGGGGGACGGGGAACACGTTGAGACATAAAACAAACAATAAGGCATTGCCAAAACGGGGCTAGATCGTATCTCCGTTGTTATTGGTCTGATTGTGACGTACGAGGGCTCGTTGGAACGGTGAGGAGACGGAAAATACGTTGAGACAAAAAACAAATATGGAGGCATTGCCAGAAGGACACTAAGCTTGTAACGTCTAAACTACTCAACGTACAACAGCTTGCAAGGTAGCGTTAGAAAGGGGAGATGGTAACGAATATGTTAAGATAAAAATAAAAGGCAAAGACTTTACCAAAACAGCACTAAGCTTGTAACATCTAAACAGCTCAACGTACAACAATGTGTGAGGTATCGATTAAAAGAGGAGGTGGTAGCGAATATGTTAAAATAAAAAACAAACGCAAAGACAATGCCAACATGGCACCAGATCATATCTTCGTCGTTATTGGTCTGATTGTAAAGTATGAGGCGTCAAACGAAAGGTCAGAGGATAATGAATATGTTAAAATACAAAGACAATACCAAAATATCATTACAACATATCTCCGTTTCTATTGGCGAGATTGCTATATGTAACACGTTAAATGAAAGGGGAGGGGGTAAAAACAGACCTTGTCGAAAAAAGCCCCTCTCTATCTCGAAACAATTCATATGCCATTGAAATGGATATATAACGTACAGTAGCTGCTATCGCCGGAAGTAAAACGAGTAGGAACGTATACCATTCTTACAGTATGACCAAACCACCAAACATTCACCGTAATATACAAGTCTACAGTGGCCGATCAATACATGGATCCCACCTCAATCATACACCTGCTCTTTACAACGAGATGTTACAAGCTTAGTGCCGTTTTGGTAATGTCTGCCTTTTATTTTTATCTTAACATATTCGTTACCACCTCCCCTTTCCAACGCTACCTTGCACGTTGTTGTACGTTGAGTAGTTTAGACGTTACAAGCTTAGTATCCTTCTAGCAATGCCTCCATCTTTGTTTTTTGCCTCAACGTATTTTCCGTCTCCTCACCTTCCGTGTTCCCCGTCCCCCCCGCTTTCTATTATTGAAAGCCCTTTTATGTTCTGCTATTCGTTTATTAAAGTTTCTACCAGTTTGACCGATGTAAGTTTTTGGGCAGTCGCCACATTTGAGTTTGTACACAACAAAGCTATTTGCTTAATTATATTTAATTCTGTCTCAAAGTTAAGCAATTAAATAGTAGAACATAAAAGGGCTTTCAATAATAGAAAAACAGATTCGACATACGCACTTCACCTTCTAGATCATAATCATTCTTTTAATGACAAATTTAAAATTCTTCACATTCAAAATAAAGGCATTAAGCTGTCTTTGTTAGAATCTATGGAAATCAACAAATTAAAAAACACAGATATAATTCTGAATGACCAACTTGAGAGAAACAGTTCTCCCCCCCCCCTCAACCTATTTCATTAGAGACTATAAAGTGTAAACGCAAGCCAAAAATAGATCACTTGAGAAAGGCAATCAGTCGAAACAGCTGTAGTGATAAGAGTTAAAATAAATTTTGGGGAAGTTTGAAAACAAAGTTTTCAGTGTTTTATTGTTACGTATATAAAATATATATGATGCTTATCTATCATCCATTTAAGAAAAATATGCTATAATAATAAGTGCGAATCGGTGTAATATTGAAGATAGTGATCTATTAAAAACAACCTAAATCATGCCACATACAACATCTTGTACACTTCGCTATTTTTCTTACTTGAAACAATTTCCATGTTTCGTGAACGGTGGTAGAGTGAAACGCCCTGCATAAAAGTTTAAATCTAAACATAAATGTACGTCAATATTATTCTTTAAAGTTAGTTAAGAAATACATTTCTCTTTATCGACATTATATTTCTCTTATATTCTGTGTTCTTTCCGACAAACGCATAGAAAGCTACGTCACGGTCTTTACTCAATTAATTCGTTGGTCTCAAGAAGTTAACAAGGCCGCAATTGCCATTTGGCGATCTGCGAAGCGAATTGGGTGTTTATTTCACTTGACTCAACGTTGGTTTCGAAAAATCCAAAAACTTGGTTTGGTACTCACTTACAAGAGGGGAGATTGCAACGGCAAGTGGTTGTACCACTTATTTGGCTTGCTATTTTTGGACCTAGAACGAGTCGGCGATTGTTTTGTCAACGATTTCATGCGGATATCCCTAACCTGCCTTCATTTATGAAAATGGCCGATTATATGGTAGATAACTACATAAGTAATGAGTCTATTTTTACTCTAACTCCTTTCATTCACATTTCCAACTGATTTTAACAAATATTTTCAATAACAAGTTCACTATCGAAAATCTATGCAACTGAATTTTCAGATCTCAAAACCGTTTAGATTGGCGATACGTCTAATAGGCCACACCATAAAAAAACCCGATATTAATATCTATTTTAAAGCAATTGTATGTTAAAATGTGTTTAAAATAATTTCTGAATTTAATAAATTACCACATAAACAAGAAATGTACCAGGTAATGTTCCGCATTAGAAACCAGCGCCTTGGGGCAAAAATTCTGGTGATGAGTTTACCTATCTGCGGTGATGAGTTTACCTATCTCCAAAGGATGCCGGTGATCAGTTTACTATATCTCGGAGGGTCTAATAATTTTATGGGAGGCTATAAAGTGATGAGTGCGTACACGTCCAAAGTTTGTATGCACCGTTCAGTATAAATTTTACAAAACATTTAAGTCAGCTAATTTGTTATGTACTAATAATTTTTGCAGAATGAAAAGAGTTGTAAGGGGAAATTTCGATTAAAGATTTATAATTGTATATCACAGTTAGAGCCGATGAATGGAATTATTGCCCCTTTCAAAACAAGGCAGATTGGGGATCCAATGGCTACATGAGTTTAGATTTTGTTAAGTATAGACAAAGCAGACTTTTCTTTTTTCTAATAATCGGTTTTAACTGTAGGTTTGAGAGTTAAGTATTAACTTTTCTGCCAGAAGTAGAACTCTCAAGTGCAATGGAGACTCACTACATTTGGTCAAAAGGGCTAAGGTAGTTGTAGATTTTAGAGCTCCTAAAACGCTTCTTGAGATTTGTACTGTACACGATCAACTATACTTAA